GCAGTAAAAAGGGGAGTTCAATGTTTATTATTATATATTTTCAATGTTAACATTTTTTATTTTAATAAATTAAAAAAACATGTGAAATTCGATAAGTCGGTCGCAGGGGTCCACCCCAACATGACCGACTTATCGAGTTTACATATGTAGCAATAAAAATTGTAATTCATATGGAATTTCCATATAAAAATTTCTATAGTAATAGATCAAGTATATGTAATTTCAGTTAATTTGATACGTTTTTTAAATAAAACCTCGTGTATGGAAAATTGCAAATTTCTGTATCTAGTATATTTTACAATTTCTTCCGGAATAATTCCATATCTTAATATTAATCATTTCATAGCAATAAAAATTATAATTCGTACAGAATTTCCATATGCAAATTTGGGTCTGGGACACTTTACCAACAGGACATTTTACCAACAGGACACTTTGCTGACAGGACACTTTACCAACAAGACACTTTACTGACAATCTAAGTAAAGTTGAACTTGACATAGAAATGGTCTTGTGAGGAACACCACGATCCCCACAGAAACCACAAGATCGTAATCATGAAATACGGATTCAAACAGTACAACTATAAAGTTTCTTCAGGGCATTGCCCATAATATTTCATTTTAAAATTTTTTTTTGTTATTTTTTTAAAAAAATTTTTTTTTTTTGTGTATATATAAAAATAATAATAATTAATGTGTCACAATTAAGGTTGTGGGAGAAACTCCTCCAGAAATCAATCGACAGAGTTTCAGCAGGTTACACATTAATTGTTTATTAGAGTTTTGGCAGAGTTTCGCATTTGGGGTTTTCACCAATCATCATAGTTTTGACAGGTTACACATTAATTGTTCATTAGAGTTTTGACAGAGTTTCAACAGTCATTAAGAGGTTTCGCCCACAACCTTACATAGCTCATCCAAATTTGACTCAGACAAAAGAGTAAAAAAATAAAAATTTATTAAATTTTCTCTTTATATTTTAAATTTTAAATGTAAAATACAAAACAAGTTTAAATAAAAATTATTATTGCAGATTATTACAAAAATTTTTTTATGAAAATGGTTTATTTTTCTCGCCAAATTTTTTCTTTTCGTCAACTTTTACTCTTTTTCCTTTTCGTCAACTTTTACTCTTTTTCCTTTTCGTCAATATGCTCTTTGCAGTAAATTACATTTCGTCAGTTGACTAAATGTTGATCATTTCATCAGGTATCATTAGTGCAGATCATCTATAATCATTAATTGCTTATAGTAACAATTGGTCAACTTCAAAATACTAAAACAAAAAATAATTATATCATTTTAAAAAATTTAACCAATAAGTTTTATTTTTCATGACCCAAGCTTCAAACTTTATCAGCTGGTTTTTTCTTAAACTGAAAATTTGCTGAGCCTTAGCATTTTGAAAATTCCGAATTTTGTTATACACTTAAGAAATTGAGACTAGGTAAATTTCGTGTAACAACTTTTTTTCATAGAATATTTTCTACAAATTACATTTGATTTATTTGACTTATTTATTTCCTTTTTTTTAAAGTTCTTTACAACAAGAAAGTTTAGCGAACATATTACATTAAAAGAAAATCATTACCAGATTTGGTCGTGAGATTCAAAATATTGTATATAACACAAAAATTATTGTTGCACTTCTGAGCATAACTTTCAAATTTAAAAAATCTATGAAAAGAAAATTCGAGACAAATTTTTTTTTTAGATTAATAGACTCCCCTTTAAAGCTGAATTGAATGGTAGTGGGTTTTTTAAAATCCAGTATGTGGATCACATAATATTTCAAAAATTTTAACTTTTGAGTATAGATAATCCGCACTGTACAATAGTTGTTGAGAATAACACTATGTCTAAAGTTTCAACGAAAGATGCCGTAATTTCCTTTGAGATAGCTTTTAATTTTCTTCAACAAGGTG